GTATAGGATAAGATTTTACATGTGTAGGCTTAACTAAGTGTCCGATAACTGTCACGTAAGGGCATCTTATCATGCTATTTGTATATAAACATTTATCATACCGTGTGTTGTCCTTAGCCTCAAGCATCAATGCTTTGACATCAAGGTATCGGGTGTACTGATGACCTTCTGGGTTGAGGAGACGCCAAGCCTTGATGGCACGTTGTGAGTCCCTGCTGTGGAGGGCATCCGAGATAGCAGTAAGCGTCTTGTTACGAAGCCGCCAGTAGTCAACCTCTTCCAGAGGACCGGTGTTGATGGGCCTTGGTTCATCAAGTCGCAACAGAACCTGGTCAATATGAGAATCTGAAAATAATGCAACCAGAGTAATATACTCAATCGGCAAGTCACTTTAAAGTAAGTTTCATGTTCAAGCAGTATCGAAAGCCCCCTAATTAAGGTGAGAAATAAAAAATAAAACATTTAAATAACCTTGTGCTGGGAATGTTACTCATAGTCTGCCATATTATTCCGCAATCTTCTTCGCATAGGTCTTATCAGAGTCTCATGAAATCCGCTCAAAAGGGCATGCCACATTTAAATAATAAATTATGATAGTGAAGGGGTGATACATGGATATAGGATTGGTGAATATCCCAGGCCAGAAGGAGAGATACCACAATTTTTGGCAGACAATTGGTAAAAGAATCGACTTCACTTTTCTCTTTGACGAGTTATAGTATTGTGCTTAGAATGGCAAGGCGCACTGACAATGCCGACTACGATGTCAGCGAAACGTATGAGAATGTACAATGTCCACGGTCCGACGCTTGAAATCTTCATGTATACTATGGACTCCGAACAAGGTACGTTCCTCTAGATCTTCCTGCCAATATGACCAAGTTGCGAAGGCAAGGTCAGACAGTTCCCCGAGCAGGACTCGAGCTTAGATTATCCAAGTTTAGAAACAATATTGCATTAATCCTGCAAAATTGCGGCGGTCCATTGCCGTGTGTCCGGAAATTTGCATCTCAAACTAAATACACAGGTGGTATCATCCGAAGGGCAAGCATGTCCTTTCTATTTAGGAAAATAAACGAAAAGGTTGGCTGTAAAATGCTTATTTGCGTTTGATTAGAACATAATGTAGTGTTATTTCCCAGATCGTCAATCGATTAATCAATTCACTCCATCTCTTCCTCAAGGGAATTCCTTTAGAGCTGTTCCAATCCTAAAGGCTTATTAACTCTTGCTAAATTTAAAACTTAACCGATTAATAATCAAGATGCACCTGGAAACGGCGGACACTGGGAAGTGCATATGATTAAATATAGAGCCAAGGTAAGGGAAATAGATTTATACAAGGCTCATCAAGAAAGCGGATCTGATCTTTGCTATGCAAGCACTATGTTGTTTTCGAAAACTGACCCCATTCAGAAAGCAGACGCCTGAGTTTGCATGATAGCTCTCCACTGGGGTCGGGCCGTAAGCTGTTTAAAAAATCCCCTTCGTCTTCTGTTTTTTCAGGAAGAAATTCCGCCTCCGACAGATGAAAAGCCCCTAAAAGGGTGTCCCAGGTCTCCTCCAACACTGAAATAAACTTGTATAGATTGACACAAAACTCATCTCGCATCCGTTGCTGTCTGTCAAAGTTGATGTGCTGCTGCTGGTCAGCATATTCAGAAAGCATTGCAGCTGCTGACGTTCCTGGAGCCAAGCCAGGCACACTGCTGACGAAATCAATCGGCCTGATAGGGGCATTACTTTCCACGCCAGCACCAGTCCTATTACCATAGTCAAACTGAGAACCAGCGCCTCCACGGCCACCATTGTCCAGCTCAAAAGAGTCATTAGAATAGGACCCTTGTCTACAATGACTAGATCTATCTGGAGCTAAACCAGTTCTACCACCGGCTTTTCCAGCAACCAGGCTTCCGATACCATTATGACCACGAGATTCGGCGATTCCACCTGCTGCTTCACCATGTTGACCACCAACGGTATCTTCGTCATTGTAATGTTCGTTTATATCGGCCTGCATCACTTGTGAGTAGTATGATAATGCGCTAGAGTAAATCTAGATTACGTGAAAAATAGGGAAAATGATATTTGCACTCACTAATTAAGTAATAATTTCACTCAAGCAAGTAAATTTTAGAATAGTTCTGTTGATAGATTGATGAATAGACTATCTTGTAAGGGTGGATTTATTAGAGTAGTTGATAGGGGAGCATCTAATTAGCCATTTTGGTACCTTGGTAGCTAAATTGAATGCGAGTTATTGATGGAAAAGTTGGCCACGACTTATAAGACATTAACTAGATTATGTTTATATCATTGGGTTGACCTCGTTATCGCAACTTGGTCTTGTTGTCAGGGTGACTTAGTAGAACGCACCTAGTCCAAAGTCGCCTACCATAGTAGTAGTCATAATTCCCAGCATCAGAAAGTCGA